TGCCTGTAATTCTGGCTACTTGGAAGTCTGAGGCGGAAGGATCGCCGGAGCCCAGCAGGCGAGGCTGTGGTGGCCAGGAGTGACCGAGTGAGACTCCAACTCAAAAACAAAAAACAAAATAGGGATCTCATTCTTTATTTTACTTTATTTTATTTTTGAGTCGGAGTCTCACTCTCTTGCCCAGGCTGGAGTGCAGTGCCACACTCATGGCCACCGCAGCCTCGACCTGCTGGGCTCAGGCAATCCTTCCACCTCATCCTTCCAAGTAGCTGGAATCACAGGTGCACACCACCACACCTGGCTAATTTTTTTGATGTATTGTAGAGACGACATCTCGACAAATTGTCTAGGCTGGACTCAGGCAATCCTCTGGCCTCCACCTCCCAGAGTGCTGCGATTACAGGCGTGAGCCACTCCACCTGGCTTGTAGCCTCTTTCTAGTGTGACTTGAGAATGGGATCGAGAAATGTTGGGGTAGGCCCTGTGCAGAGTCAGGAGTTAGTTCTTAACTCACGTGGGATGGGAGGCTATGGCAAGCGAGTGCGTGAGCTGGGTGAGAGTGAATTATTACTGCTACTTTAATGGCAAAAGCGTCACCTCCGGAGCTTGGAAAGGAGAGAAAGTAGCTAAATTTAGGCAATTCTGTGGATGTTTACCAAAGAAAACAACCGTTTATTCTCCTTTACACCTTGAGTGAAGCATGAATTCCTTTGTTAGTGAAATGAAATGCCCCTTTTCAACCAGAAGATGGGGCTGGATTTGCTTGGAAACAGACTGCAAAGGCTCCCCAGGAACTGGCTTCCTGGACTCGCCCTGCCAGGGGCTCCCGGAAGTAGTACAACTGTGGGTGTGCATCAGAATCACATAGCAGCTTTCTAAAAACAGACTGACTCCCCACCAGCCCCCAGAAACTCTGATTCATTGGTCTGGGGTGTGCTCTAAGTAGGTGGTTCCCACACTCTGCTCTACACTGGAATAATCATCAGGGACCTTTTTGACAGTCTAAGCCCATTGTGAAGAAATCAGACTCCAGGGCGGGAGTAGCCATCGAGGATGTTGGGGTGAGCCTGGGGACTCCAGTGTGTGGCAGGTGGGGAACTGATGCCCTGGGCTATTTCATTCAAGAGCCTTCCAGAGCTCCCGGGGATTCTGATCGCCTCTCCTGGTTTGGGAGACTTTGATCTGCCTCTGCTTGTAGCTGAAGTTGTGGATGGTTGGGGGGCAGTATAGATCGCCAGGGGATTATTAGAAAGATCTGCTGGTGGCCTTCCCTCTCCCTTTGTGAATGGAGGCCTGGTCTCCTGCTTGTCCTTGCTAGGGGCTAGAATTCATAGAAGTGATGGTGAGCAACGCCTCAGCCTGACAGGACATGACAAAGGACAGTTGCACGCAAGTGCCATTCAGGACCTTTTCTCTGTGTCCCCCCAGCTTTGTGACGACCAACTGTGCTCTGCAGTTTTCATCCCGTGGAATCCGACCTGGCCTGACCACTGTCCTAGCCAGAAACCTAGACAAGAACACTGTGGGCTACCTGCAGTGGCGGTGGGGTATCCAGTCGGCCATGAACACGAGCATTGTGCGGGACACAAAGACCAGCCACTTCACAGTGGCCCTGCAGGTGCGCCTGGAGCTGCTGTCAACTGAGGACAGAGTTGCAGGGGACCCCCTCCCGAGCACACAGCATGCCCTTAGGTCTTGCACCCTGACCACCCTTCCGAGTTGAGCACTGAGGGCACCCCACGGGACAGGCTCTGGTTGCACACGCTCGGGAGTGATGTGGGGGGAGTATCACAGAGGGTTGAAATATTGTGGTTCTCGAGCTCAGGGCAGCTCTCTTCAGATTATCGTAAAGCAAAACAGCATTTTACCATTTCCTGGAGGGAGAAGCCCACAGAATCGGGGGAGCCCTGGTTGGCAAATGAAGCCCCAAAGGAGATCTATGCACTCAAGTGCCACTGGGACTGGGTCAAGGCTGTTGAGTGAGAGGCCGCCCCTTGAAGGTGGTGGTGCCTTGGCCCTCACCAACTGCTGCCACCCAGGAACACAGGCTCAGTGTTGTCAGGATTCTTTATTTTTCATGAGAAGCTAGAAAACTGTTTCTAAGTGAGATCTCCCAGTTTTTAAATTCTGGCAACTAGTGTATCTTCACATGTGTTTTGCGGCTGCCAGGTCATGGCCCTGCCTTAGGGGCCTGTACACAGCAGACACCCAGAGCTAGAGGGCAGGGGACACCTGCCTTCCCATGGAGAATGGCCTGCTGGCCCCGCACCCATCTACCCTCTGTCTCCTCAGCTGGGAATCCCTCACTCCTTTGCACTGATCAGCTATCAGCACAAGTTCCAGGATGACGATCAGACCCGCGTGAAAGGATCCCTCAAGTAAGTGCCGGCCTGGCCGCTGTGGATGCCCACTGGCCTGAGCTGGGGTTTTGTACCATGCAGGGGTGATGTGTGACTCCTGCTTGTGTGAATCTCTTGGTGTGAGTGATGTTTTTTGAGGGCCTTCTGTTGTGAGCCTATGTGGACTTACTCCAAGTCCTGACCCTCAAGGAACTTGGAGTCTAAGGGAAGAACTGGGCCCTGGGTGTCCCGACTTCGTCCTGTTATTGACAGAGGGCACCGGTCATGAGTCTGTTGGGAGTGGGGGGATGGGACTTGGGTGCTTCTCAAGTGACAGCTGCCTGTGAGTGAAAAGCCTGAGGGACACAGGCCCTAGCTCTGATCCTTCCCTGCAGGGCGGGCTTCTTTGGGACAGTGGTGGAGTACGGAGCCGAGAGAAAGATCTCCAGGCACAGTGTACTGGGAGCAGTCGTCAGCATTGGCGTCCCACAGGGCGTTTCTCTCAAAGTCAAGTAAGTTGAACTCGGGGCTTTCCAGCCAAGGAATGTCTGGCAGCTTCACCCAGTTGGGTTTCACCTAAGTTAAGGGTGAGACAGTCTGTGCTTTGTACTTTTGTTCTGAAAGATACAGTTGTTTCTCTCTTTGGTGAGCAAATAAATGTCAAGGAGTGTGGCAGTCCAACACTGAGCAAGTGAGCTCTGCGTCTCTGCCTCTCCTGATATCACTGGGCGGTGGCCGGTGCCTCCTTAAGACACTCTAGCTGTCGTGGGCTGTGGTCATCTCCAGCAACACCCACAGCCTTAGCTTCCCTCTCAGCAGAGGGATTCCATCAGTGCATGCCCCCTGCTCCCCATGGCTAGTCATTCCCTTCCCTTCTTAGTTCTTGAGAGAGCTGTGTTGGCTCACGGTCGTTTGTTTCGTTTGCTTCTAAACTGCTCCAGTCGGACTCTTCCCCAGCCCTGTCAGTCACCAGCGGGGTGCCTGTCCACACATGTCCGACCAGAGGGTGATTCTTCTTTTTTTTGAGTTGGAGTCTCACTGTCGCCCAGACTGGAGTGCAGTGGCCTATGCCGGCCACCGCAGCCTCGACCTGCTGGGCTCCGGCGATCCTTCTGCCTCAGCCTTCCAAGTAGCTGGAATGACAGGCATGAGCTACCACGTCCAGCTAATTTTTGATTTATTGTAGAGATGAGGTCTTGCTAAGTTGCCCAGGAGGATCTCAAACCCACGGGCTCAGGCAATCCACTCACCTCAGCCTCCCAAAGCGCGGGATTACAGGCTGAGCCACCGAGCCCAGCTAGAGGGTGATTCTTGACCTTCATCTTGCTTGGTCACTGCAGCATCCACCTCAGTGGCCAGTCCCTCCGGCCCTACAGCCGGCCTGCTCTGGGGTTCCAGGCACCACCCTCTGGCTCTGGTTTCCCTTCCCAGCCAGCTGCTCTTCCCAGACTTCCCATCTGGCTGTCTCCCAAACTTCCAATGAAGACACCACTGCGAGGTACAGGTCTTGTCTAGGCTCATGGCTCCCAGTGCCTTCACGCACTGACTCTCGTGGCGAGAGCACCAGCTTGTACCACTCCAGTCTCCAGCTTATATATGCATCCAGCCTCCTTCTCCAGATCTTTACTTGGATACCTAATAACATCTCATAAGTCACACATCCAAACAGAACTCCATATCCCTCCCCCAGCCCAGATGCACATAGCCTTCAGAACCTGCTCTGTGGACAGGTGTGGTGGCTCAAACCTATAGTCCCAGGTACTAGGGAGGCTGACGCCAGCACTTTGAGAGGCCAAGGCATTAGGATCAATGGAGGCCAGGAGTTCAAGACCAGCCTGGGCAACACAGCGAGACCCCATCTGTATTTTATTTATGTTTTTTGTTTTGTTTTGACTCAGTCTCATTCTGTCACCCAGGCCGGACGGCAGTGGCATGCTCATGGACACTGCAGCCTTGACCTGCTGGGCTCAGGTGATCCCTTCTGCCTCAGCCTTCCAAGTAGCTGGAACCACAGGCATGTGTCTCTATACCCGGTTAAATTTTTTTTTTTTTTTTTTTTTTTTTAGAGAAATGAGGTCTTGCCAAGATGCCCGGGCTGGTCTCGAGCCCCTGGGCTCAGGCAGTTCTCTCACCTCGGCCTCCCAAAGTGTTGGGGTTACAGGCGTGAGCCACCACACCCAGCCATCATCTATATTAAAAAAAAAAAAAAAAGAATAGCCTGAGTAACAAAGCAAAACCTCATCTCTCCAAAAAAAGTAAAAATTAGCTGGGCATGGTGGTTCACACCTGCATTTCCAGCTATTGGGAGGCTAAGGCAGAAGGACCGCCTGAGCCTAGAATGTCCAGGCTGCAGTGACCCTTGGTTGTGCCACTGCACTCCAGCCTGGGTGGCAGAGTGAGACTCCGACTCAAAGGAACACTGTCTCTGCCTGCTGCCTCTCGCCGTCTCAGTGAGGAAGAGTGCCGGCTTTCTCCTTGCCCATCCAGAAGCCTTGCAGTGCCTGTACTGTTCTTCATCCCCGCTCCAAGTCCAACACGTCTCAGAGTCGCCTCACGAAAGTGTTCGCAACCTGACCAGTTCTTAACCTCACTGCTGCCACGGTCTCAGTCTGAGACCACAATGTCCTCTTCACCGATCTCCCTACCCCTGTGAATCTCCTCCTCACACAGGCAGAACAATTCCTTTGAAATGGAAGTCAGCTGAGGTGAGTGAATTGCCTGAGCCCACGGGTTCGAGACCCGCCTGGGCAACTTGGCGAGACCTCATCTCTACAATAAATCAAAATGAGCTGGGTGTGGTAGCGTGCGCCTGTAGTTCCAGCTACTTGGAAGGCTGAGGCGGAAGGATCGCCAGAGCCCAGCAGGTCGAGGCTGCAGTGGCCGGGAGCGGCCACTGCACTCCAGTCTGGGCAACGGAGTGAGACTCCAACTCAAAAAAAAAAAAAGAAAGAAAGAACGAAAGAAATGAGCCGGGCTCGGTGGCTCAGCCTGTAATCCCGTGCCTTTGGGAGGCTGAGGTGAGTGGATTGCCTGAGCCCGCGGGTTCGAGACCCGCCTGGGCAGCGAGACCTCACCTCTACAATAAATCAAAAAATCAGCCGGGCGTGGTAGCGTGTGCCTGTAGTTCCGGCTACTTGGAAGGCTGAGGCGGAAGGATCGCCGGAGCCCAGTGGGCAAGGCTGCGGTGGCCGGGAGCCGCCACTGTACTCCAGGCCACTGCACTCCAGTCTTGGCGACAGAGTGAGACTCCAACTCAAAAAAAAAAAAAGAAAGAAAGAAATGGAAGTCAGCCAGAGTCCTCCAGGGACTTTGGAGCCCACATGGCCCTTAGCGATGTAGCGCCTCCAAAGTGCTGGGATTGCAGGAATGAGCCATCATGCCTGGCCCTCATTCTTTACTTATTCTTATTTTCTTTTGTCTCTAAGCACAGTTAAAATAGTGGTTTTAAAATCCTTATCATGCTGGGCATGGTGACTCACACCTATAATCCCAGAACTTTAGGAGGCTGAGGTGAGAAGATTGCCTGAGCTCACAGGTTCAAGACCAGCCTGGGCAACTTGGTGAGACCGCATCTCTACGATAAATAAAAAAATAAGTCGGGCATGGTGGCATGTGCCTGTAGTTTCAGCTACTTGGAAGGCTGAGGCGGAAGGATTGCCTGAGCCCAGCAGGTTGAGACTACAGTGGCCTTGAGTATGCCACTGCACTCCAGCCTGAGTGACAGAGTGAGACTCCAACTCAAAAAAAAAAAAAAATCCTATCCACTGGTTCTAGCATCTGGGTCATCTGTGGTTGTTCTGGGTTCATTGTTCTTATGTGTGTACATATGTCTGTGTTTATGCATTTATGTATGTATTTGTATAATATCCTGGGTATTATGGATGATAAATTGTAGAGACTTTGTATTCTGTTATATTTCCCCAAAAAGTGTTCATTTTCTTTTTTTTTTTTTTTTTTTTTTTTTTTTTTGAGTTGGAGTCTCACTCTGTCGCCCAGACTGGAGTGCAGTGGCCACTCCCGGCCACCGCAGCCTCCACCTGCTGGGCTCCGGCAGTCCTTCCGCCTCAGCCTTCCAGGTAGCTGGAACTACAGGCATGCGCTACCACGCCCGGTTAGTTTTTGATTTATTGTAGAGACGAGGTCTCGCCAAGTTGCCTAGGCGTGTCTTGAACCCGCGGGCTCAGGCAATCTACTCGCCTCGGCCTCCCAAAGTGCTGGGATTACAGGCTGAGCCACTGAGCCCGGCCCATTTTCATTTTAGAAGGTGGTTAACTTGGCTGAACTCAAACTGCAAACTCAAACTCACCTGTGGTGGCAGCAGGCAAAACCTCAGTACATTTTAGCCTTAGCAAAGCCATTTGATAGACCAGGGGTCAGCTAGAGATTTGTGCCACATTCATACGCAATTGGATGTTCCCCATCTGTCTTTCTTTTGGGGGACCTGCCCCCCGACTCCAGCTGCTGTGATTGTCCCAAACTCTGAGCTCTGGTTCTTCAATCCTGTATGACTGCAGGTTTCTTTTGAAGTGTTATCCAGCCCACATGGCATAGACTGAGCCTTACCCTCAGGCTGAAACCCATGCCATTCCATTCTTAGAGTCCTTAGTCCTCTTGTCGTGTCTCCTAGCTCTTGGTTGCTATTCAGCACCCTAAAGTACCTTAAAGTGGTGGCTCATACCTATAATCTCAGCATTTTGGGAGGCTGAGGCAGGAGGATTTCTTGAACCCAGGAGTTCGAGATCAGCCTGGGCAACATAGCAAGACCTTGTCTTTACAAAAATAAATATTTTTTATTTTAAAAAAGAAAGGTCTGTGGTTTTTCACATGCTCCAGAGTTTACAGGGTGATCCAGCAGGAGCTAACTGTCCATGACTGGAGGCAGAACCTCCCTAACTTGCTAACTTTTGAAGTTACAAACTTCTTTCGAACACATCAGTTAAGATCTGAGATGTGATCCTCTCTCGACACTGGAGGAGTCTCCATCCTGTCCTGTGAGGCCTCTGGCCTGACACAGCCATGCGGGACATTGACTCTAGTGAAGCCTTGCTCTGTTGCTTTGCCTGAGGTCAGCAGGTGGTGAGCCCTTTCTTCGTCACACGACTATTCCAGCAGCCAAGCTTTGGAATGGGGAACCAACAGGAGTGGCTGACAGGACAGGCTGACTTCTGGGTTGCTTTTGACTGTTTTGCATATCTGAGGGTGCTCTTGCTGTGGCTAAAACCCCCTTGCCCTTCCCTGGAAAACCTGGCACGTCTTAGGTGTTTTGTCCTGTTTTCCCAGGTTGAACAGGGCCAGTCAGACTTACTTCTTCCCCATCCATCTGACGGATCAGCTCCTGCCCAGCGCTGTGTTCTATGCCACCGTGGGGCCTCTCGTGGTCTACTTCGCCATGCACCGTCTGATCATCAAACCATACCTCAGGGCTCAAAAAGAGAAGTAAGTTTCAACATATCATGGGTATGTCAGCAAATAGCCCTGTGCCTCGGTTTCCTCATCTTTAAAATGGAGGTAATAATAGAACCTACCCCATGGGGTTTTTAGGAAAACTAAATTTACTGACACATGTGAGGTGCTTGGCCTGGTGACTGGGCCAGGTACTTAGTAAGTGTTAACTGTCATCATCATCTGTGGTAGGACTGCTGTGATCCCTTCACTTGACAGTCATGCTTTCAGAAAAGACTGGAGTTGATTTAGAACATTGTTGAGACTCTAAACCATGACTACAAGAAACATGCTTTCCTTGTTCTGATTCTAACCATTTATTTATTTGTTTATTTCCTCCTTTCCTTTCTTTTTTTTTTTTTTTTTGAGTTGGAGTCTCACTCTGTTGCCCAGACTAGAGTGCAGTGGCCTCTCCCGGCCACCACAGCCTCAACCTGCTGGGCTCCGGCAATCCTTCTGCCTCAGCCTTTCAAGTAGCTGGAATTACAGGCGCGCGCTACCAAGCCCGGCTAATTTTTTTGATTTATTGTAGAGATGAGGTCTTGCCAAGTTGCCCAGGTGGGTCTCGAAACTGCAGGCTCAGGCAATTCACTCACCTTGGCCTCCCAAGGTGCAGGATTACAGGATGAGCCACCGAGTCCGGCCCCTTTCCTTTCTTTTCTTTTCTTTTTTGAGTCAGAGTCTCACTGTGTCGCCCAGGCTGGAGTGCAGTGGCACACTTGCAGGCACTGCAAGCCTTGACCTGCTGGGCTCAGGTGATCCTTCTGCCTCAGCCTTCCAAGTAGCTGGAATTACAGGCACTTGCCACCACGCCCAGCTAATTTTTTAATTTATTGTAGAGATGAGGTCTCGCCAAGTTGCCCAGGCTAGTCTCAAACCCCTGGGTTCAGGCAGTCCTCTCACCTCGGCCTCCCAAAGTGCTGGGATATAGGCATGAGCCACTGTGCCTGACCTAACCATTTATTTTCTTGGCACTGAGCTTAAGAAGAACGGGTTCTGCGTTCTTACTTAAGGGACACGCATTAACTGTAGTCTTGGAAGTCATGGAATTATAATTCATTTTGCAATTTCTTCTAGACAGTCCAGTGGGGCATAGCATTAAATCTAAACTCTAGGTGAGACATCTCAACAGAAAACTAAGAGGGGTTTAGATTTGTTATTTATTTATTTACTTTTTTTTTTTTTTTTTTTGAGTTGGAGTCTCACTCTGTCGCCCAGACTGGAGTGCAGTGGCCGCTTCCGGCCACCGCAGCCTCGACCTGCTGGGCTCCGGCGATCCTTCCACCTCAGCCTTCCGAGTAGTCGGAATTACAGGCACGCGCTACCACGCCTGGCTGGTTTTTTGATTTATTGTAGAGATGAGGTCTCTCTGCCCAGGCGGGTCTCGAACCCGCGGGCTCAGGCAATCCACTCACCTCAGCCTCCCAAAGGCACGGGATTACAGGCTGAGCCACCGAACCCGGCTCTTATTTATTTTAGAGTCAAGGTCTCACTATATTACTGTGGAGTGCAGTAACATGATCAAAGCTCATTGCAGCCTTGACCTTCTAGGCTCAGTCTGTCTTTCCCCCTCTGGCTTCCTAGTAGCTGGGACCACAGGCATGTGTCTTCATGTCTGGCTAATTTTTTTTATTTTAGGGGAGACAAGGTCTCACTATGTTGCCCAGGTCCAGGATGGCCTCAAGCTCCCGGGCTCAAGTGATCCTCCCACCTTGGCCTCCCAGAATGCTAGGATTACAGGCATGAGCTACTGCACCCTGCCTAGATTTGTTACATTATCATCGTCTAATTTAATAAAGCATTGAGCTTGGAGAATCTTAGAGAAAGGAATGAACCTCCTCTTCTGGGCTCCTGAATTAGTTCAGGGTCCTAATTCCCAGGCTTGAGGCTGGGAACAGGGAACAGACGGAATCCCATCTTCTGGCAAGACAGGTGTATGCCGAACCAGGTCCCCGGGGGGTACTTTGCTGCAGGAGAGTATATTTAAAGTAGTATTAGCAGAATATGCTGTTCCTACTGAAAGTATTATGTAATAGCCGCAGACGGTTAGTGGGATTTCTGGGTTCTCATCAGGTGGAGTCCTCTTTCCAGAGAGACTGGATGTTCCAGGGGCTCTGGTGAGGGGGTGGGGCAGAGCCAGCTGGGGATAGAGTGAAAGCTGCAGGCCTGTGACTAACAGACTTGCCTGCGACTGTCTTGGAAATATTTTTTAAACTTCTAGAACTAGAAATCCAAGAAGATCACAGACTGTTTGCTGGGCTCAGGTCCAGCGAGGGGCTGTGTTGGCTTGAAGCTGGCAGCACATGCTAACGTGCAGCCTGTGTTGTTCTCTCGTAAGGGAACTGGAGAAGCAAAGAGAGAGCGCCGCCAGCGACATCCTGCAGAAGCAGCAAGAGGCGGAAGCTGCTGTGAGTGCCCTGGCCTCGCTGCCCTGTGTGTCCTCCAATCTACCTTCGTCTCCGGAGCACTCCCACTGCTGGGGTGCAGGATACAGGACGCGGCGAAAGCGCTTTTCTTTCTACCCATGTCTCTTCAGCGAGATGGGAGCCCACTCCACTCTGCACACGGGCCTCTAGAGCCTGAGGTGTCAGGCTTCTCTCCCCCAACAGCCTCATCCCCACGTTAGTCTTCATATTGCCTTGTGGGACACAGTTCAGGGAGCTTCAGTCCCTGCCTTACAGGCTATGTACAGTTACCCTCAGAAGGCATAGCAAGGTTTGTTTTAAAATGTTGAGTAGGCCGGGCTCGGTGGCTCAGCCTGTAATCCCACACCTTGGGAGGCTGAGGTGAGTGGAT